GCATCCTATAAATTAGAGAAATTCTTAAAAGGACACAACGTATAACCGTTGATTTTTATTAAATTTTGTGGACCATTATTTGTAACCATTAGATTTATTAGAAAAAAAACATATCCTTATCCCTAGGCCCACCTCGGCCTGTTGGCAATTGCATGTACGTACGTACGTACGTCTGCTCAACCCCCCCTCCTAATTCTTTCACCCCTTTTTTCACCTACTTTTTCTCCTATTTTCATTCTTTTAGAAAAGCAAAAATTGTATGCCAAACAATTAAGCAAATGCAGCATCTAAATTATAATGCTAATATTTGATCTGCTTTATGTCTTTAGATATTTTACATTTTAAAACTCATGTCCTCTTTAATTCAACTGTAAAGAGAGAAATGTCACATTAATTGGGGCTACATTTTCTGACTTTTGCGTGTCATTTAAGCAATTTTAAAACTATAAAAATTAATGATATATATTTTTGTTATCGTATATAACTTGATAATAATTAAATTATATCTAATAAAAGTAAAATGAACAGATATATGAGTAATATTAAAAAAATAGCCCCCCCCACATTGTAACACAGTAAAAAGTACGCATCTTATAAATGCTTCTAAGATATTATATCGTTCTCTTAAATCGGAGAAAATACTCTATTAAGATATTACGCCGTTCTCTTAAATAAGAGAAAATCGTAAAAATTCTGACAAGAAAACAAAACATTCGACCATCAGCTTCGACTTAAACATCTAACACATAATTTTAGTTTGTTAGATTAATCATTTAGAAAAAGAACATCCGAAATCTCCCTTCCTCCCTGCTCGCATACAGCGTGCGCCATTCTTTTCTCTCTATTTTTTATCTCCTTATCAACTGAAATTAAAATTATCTATATGTAAAAAAGACACAAATGGACCTCCATCTATTACTTATATCCTGTCAGGCGTCTAACGACTTTCTACTAACTTAATTAATTTCTCTTAACATGCCTATGAGGGCTATGTACCTATACAAATTGACCTTGATACTTTTAAAACGATCTTATTAGGAGATAAATAAATATTCATAAGAAAGATGATCATAGCATCCCAATTACACATATGATCTATGAAGTCACTAATCATAATAGGTATTCATCTAGCAATATAGACAATAGGTTAAAAATAAATGTGTGGCCAGTTGAACATCATACCAATAAGCATGTGGGTTGCACCTAGGAATCTTAACACTGAAACAACCTTGAGGCGGCCTTTACAATTGGAAATTGAGCAAATGTTGCTAGATTTAAAACCCACTGTAAATAGAAAAATTCAAACATTTTACGAGTTCTGTTTGAATGAATATATATATATATATATATATATATATATATATATATATATATATAATACAATCAATCAAAAAATTGATATTATTGGATATCTTTGGTTGTAAGATATCCTACTGAGGAGTTAAATATCCTGAATTTTCTTATAGGAACCACCTCCTTTGTTTCGACACAATATTTTCTCATCAATTCAAAACCACATGTTCTCAAGTAATTTTATTTTAGAATTTAAATGTTACAAGGGTAATTATAAGAAAATAATCAGCACTCAAATCACACAAAATACATTTAGCTTTATAATATAATAAAAAATATTTTAATAAAAAACACCCACACATAAATATTCATAATAAAATTTCACTCATTATATAAGAAGGTGTCCGCGCATGTGCGCGGGCTATCTTTCTAGTTGAAACAAAAGTTGTTCAACCTAGCTAGGGTCAGGGATCACCGGTGTCGTCGTATTCGCCTTCGATCGGGGCTGTATTCCGTGCACTTCACCCTGCAAACCACGTCGCCACTGTTACTGTCCTTGTCGACGCCGGCGCCTTGGATTTGTCCATTACTCAGCGCCATCAATCCAGCCACAACGTCTTGAGCGGCAAGTTCGTTGGCTGCTCGCCGGCGACAGGTGAACTGCAAGACATGCATGTCTTTCACATTGATCTACTTATATCTTTCGGTGGGAGGCAACAGGTGCCCATGCATACGTTTAGCTAATTACCATTGATCAGCTGCTGTATACATTGTGTTCATTCGTACTTTATTAGGATAATGGAATTCAACGGTCTCCTAGGAGTCGAGCAGATAGCAGCAGCAGCCTCCGGGGAGGACAACAACCTTCGGCCTCCCAAATTGGAAGCCGCCAATGGCAGCGTCATCTGGAATCGATGCGGGCGGTCGTGAGGGCCTCCCGGGGGCGGGCGTCTGCTACAGCCTCCCACTGTTGAGGCAAACGGTGGAAGGAGGCAACGGCGGCGGCGGCAACCTACCCTAGCGCCGCCGTAATTTTCTTCCTTTTTTTTCTTTCGCTCGGTTCGCTGCATTTGAAGTGGCTACACCGGTCTGGACGTCGTTTGGATTAGCGTCCATCCGCGGACGCTGTTTACACGAGCGTCCTGATGCGGAAGCTGTTTAGAATAGCGTCCTTCTTATTTTGGTAAATACTCACAAGGAATTACTAATTATTTAATTTAAATATTATTAATTATTATAAATAAAAAATTCGGCAACCGTTGACTGATGCATGTCGCCTGAGGAGAGGCCGGAAATCTGGCGACCTAATTAACAAAGCCTCGTTAGTCATCACTGTCCTGGTAATATATCTGGCATGCAATTTTGCTTGGTGAGTTGAACCTCTAGTTCCGTACTGCACCGTACAATATTTTCCGGCCTAATTAACATTGACTTGCTTGTTGATTTCATCAAAGTATCCGTGGAAATCGATCTTTTTAGTTGAGAGGGACGTATAGCGTATTAGCGTGCCGGCCAAAACGCCCGAAACGTTGAAAAGCACGTAAGTTGGTTGGATGATCCAATAACCTTTCCGATGATGTTAGAATGTTTTGACGATAGTCTTAAATTTCTTTTAAAAAAAAATCGATGGAACTATCACACAAGCAACTGAATAAGACAACGACGTTTTTGGGTTAATTAGCATCATGCATGGCGTCCAAGTTTGTGGCTTGTTGTTTTCGTCGTATGCCTACTCGGGTCCTTATGCCTACTCGAATCCTTGTAATCTATCACTACCTCTGGTTTTCAATATATAACACCGTTAAGTTTTTTTTTATTTATATACGTTTGACCATTCGTCTTACTTAAAAAAAATAAATATAAAAATAATTTAAGTTGTGCTTAAAGAACATTTGACAATAAATCAAATCACAATTAAAATAAATGATAATTACATAAATTTTTAATAAGATGAATGGTTTAAACGTCTCTTAAAAAGTCAACGGCGTCATATTTTAAAAAACGGAGGAATTACTCCGTATCCTAATAGATTAGATTTTTTCAGACGATGGAATTAAATTCAATTACCCCGTCCCAAAATAATTATAATTTTAGATTGTTTAGCATATATTAAATTTTAAGAAGAAGGAGTATGATGTCCTCATTGAATGGTTTATATATAAGAGTATGAAGATAGTTGAGGGTAAAATATAGAATTTTTTTTGAATGAGAGGTGACTGATGGCAATTGGTACTCTATCGCAATAATTATTTTAGGATAAATTTGGATAATAAAAATATAATTATTATGGGATGAAGGTAGTAGCATTTAGCTAGGCAGTTTCTAGCCACAAATTGTTCTTAGAAAGGTTCAGCATTCAAGCCGCGTCATCATATGTTATCCATAAACACGGATAACATATCCAGTTTGCAATAGATTTTTGACCGAATCATTGTAGATAAGTCACGATTATAAATATAAATTAAATATATATCACCATTTGTTATCCATGGTGTCATATAGACACTCAACTACTCACCCATTTTCTGAAGTATAAGTATTTATAGCATTCAAAATTCATACCACATATAAATAATTTTAAGATATTGTTTCCAATGCATGAAAACCCATATATTTTTAACCAACGGGATACTATTTGGTAAGAGAATCTAAGCAAATTGAAATTCAAAATTGTGACCACTAGGCTGCGTTCGTTCTGGGGTGATAGGGAGTTTGTTTATTTCGTTTTCCGCGCGCACGCTTCCTAAACTACTAAACGGTGTATTTTTTATAAAAAGTTTCTATAGAAAAGTTGCTTAAAAAAATCATATTAATCCATTTTTGAAGTTTAAAATAGCTAATACTCAATTAATCATACGCTAATGGCTCATCTCGTTTTGCGTATCTTCCTAATCTTCTCTCTCCTTCTCCTCAAACACAGCCTAAAGTATGTGTAAAAGAGAATTTTTCCTACATAATTGTTTATATTTCATAACAGGGAGTATATATATTTATCACTCTTCGTCCCAAAAACACCAACCTAGGAAAGAATTTAACCTACAACGAATCTGGACAAAGAGTTGTTCAGATTTATTGTATTAGGGGTTATAGATTGGATTTTTTTTAACGGAGGGAAGAGAGTACGTGTGACGTGGGTGCACAGTGCACATGGTGTCGTATACTGGTGTTCATGCAATGAAAAAAAATCTTGAACACCATGGACGGATCTATAGAGTAATGACCGGTGTCAGGCGACACCGACGACTTTTAGTAAAACCTATAGCAAAACTGCTTATCCATATATTATAACACCATAATTTTAATATAACTAGTATACTGTAACACCAATAGATATATTATGACACTAACAAATCAATTTTCTCTACCCACCACTCCTGAATACCAAAACTATACAGACAGCAAGTTGGACGAACAAGACGGGGAGAGGGAAGAGGGGATCAGACCGCGGGCCCACACGAAACGTGAGCAGATCCCCCCCCCCCCCCCCACCCCAAAAACACACACAACCGTCCTCATCCCTCTCCCACCGTCATGTGGGCCCCACACGGGATCGGGCCCCACCCTCCAGTGGGACACACGCGCACGCCAACCCGGTAGTAGTAGGTCGGCGGCACGCGTGGTGCGAGGGGCCAGAGCTGACGTGGATCCCTTCCCCCCACCACGCGGGGTGCGGCTAGTGGACAGTATAAAGGTGTCCCGTGTTTTGGATCCCTTCCTTCTCCCACTCCCACACCTCTTGGCCTCGTCTCGTCTCGGACCACATCGAGCGAGCCGCCGAGCCGGACTCCTCCTCGAATCGAATCGAAACGCCCCCGATTTGAAGCAGCAAAAAGATATCCGAAATCGAATCGAGTCGAGTACTCGAGTGACGCCTTCGCCTCGGGTGTCCAGGAATAGCTCGAGCTTCCGCCACGCCACGCGCGAGGGAAGGAGCGGGTCGCGCGGGGGAGGGGGGGCATGGGATCGGAGGGGCGGAGCTGGAGCGGGGCGGCGGCGGTGGGGGGCGGCGTGGAAGGGGAGGCGGCGATCGCGGCGGTGGTGGCGCCTGCGCCGGGGGACGTGCCGGCGTCGGGCGCGTCCGTGGACATAGCGCTGCCGCTCCCGGAGATGACGCCCCGCATCATGCGAGTACCCCTGATCCCCCCCTCTCTTCGAATTTGCTTCTGGGATTTTGTTTCGTTTCGTTCTGATTGATGCGTTCGTGAGTGAGTGGGTGCGGTGCGGTGCGGGCGCTGAGTTGGAGGAATCGCGGGTGTTTTTATTTTATTTTATTTTTTTTTAGAGAAAAGGCTCAAGGGAATCGCGGGAGTTCGTTGTCTGTCTTCAATTTGGTTTTTGTTTCTCACGCGAGGAATGTTCGCGCGATTGTGCAGAGGTATCTGCAAGGAATTGGTGAGGGGGTGGTCATCGCTGGACAGCTCGCGCTTCTCGATCGAGACGGTGTCTGGCGGCATCACGAATATGTGTGAGTCCCTGCTCCTTGGCAGTTTCATGGCTTGTCGCGTTGTCCTGAATTTTTTTTTCTTCTTCCTGTTTCACCTGAGCAACTCGTTGTAAGTAGAGGAAAACATAGGCCAGGGCTGCTGCACAAACAAGGGAAATTTGGTGTTAGGCACATTTTAAAGTAATTTGGATAGCGGCAGACATAACATTATGGCCATCAACAGAACTTGATTGCATTTCTGAATTCTGAAAACTTAATTGCATTTCTGAACTTTTGTGGGATCAAGAAACTCTTTTACCATTACTTGCATTTTTTTTCTAATGCCTAAATCATCTTATCTTATGTTGTTTGCTATAGAAAATTATATAACCTTCTGTCACTGAAAATACTACCAATTTACCAAAAACTTAGTGGAAACCACAACTGTAATTTACTGCTTGCAGTGCTGAAGGTGTCCGCAGAAGATGGCAAGGGTAACAAGTCTTCTGTGACAGTTCGTTTGTATGGCCCAAATACAGACTTGGTGATTGATCGGAAGAGGGAATTGCAGGTGAGCATTTGAATAGTGTGATTATTGATGATGCGTGCATATCATGTCCTATAATGTTCCTTCATGGCTGTGCAATTGGTTCATCTGTTAGTCCTGCTTTATTTTATTTGGTGCATTTTTTTACAGCAAGCTCAAAGCACCTCATTGTTTTTTCAAATATTCAAGGGGGCTTGTAAGGGTTTTTAATGTATTATTAAACTTTGTATTTTCCACAGCGTCTTCTACAGTGATTTGATATAGAAAAGCAACATCAATTATAAACAAATGTTATCTTATACTGCGACCAGCACAACATCCATTATGTCAAAGAAATACCCACTATTTTCTGGTGTAAATTGTTCCCTAATGCATACATCTATTACCGTCATGTTTAGGCTATACCACATCTCTCAGCTGCAGGGTTTGGGGCTCAGCTACTTGGAACATTTGAAAATGGAATGGTCCAGTCATTCATCTATGCACGAACATTAACTCCTTCAGGTAAGCATATTATTGTTATTCGTGGATGGGGTGGGCTCTTTCTCACTGTTATATTGTCTAATATCATCTTTCTCTTTTTTCATTTATTACCTAGAATATTGTAAACTAGTGATCTGAAATGCTAGTTCAAAAGGTTTTGTGGGTTTTTAGTTGGAATTATACATAGTTTGCTAAGTTATTTTACACTTTAGATTTGCAAAAGTCTTGAAAAATGCTTCTTGCAATTTGCTTGTAAATATTCATTACTTTGTTTTCTAGACATGAAGGAACCTAGAATAGCAGCTGAGATTGCCAAAGAGATTCGCAGATTCCATCAAGTTGATATACCAGGATCAAAAGAACCACAGCTATGGGATGATATATTCAAGTTCATGAAAAAAGGTACCCTTCCAATGATATATCATACATTCAAGTTTGTTACTTAGTTAGCTTTTTTTTTTTGATAAAGGAGATACTCCTTGCTTCTGTTGAAAGTGTATAATGTTCAGAGCGAAGTAAAAATAAACAAAGAAAGAAATAAGGGTATAATTTTCAGAGCAAAGTAAAAATAAACAGAGAAACAAAAGAAAATCTGGGTTTACCAATTTGAAACATCACGTGACAAATGGATCAGACAAAATCCAAACTAGGTGCTAACATAATGCTACCATCTAGCTGCTTCTATGGCATCTATGTTCTTACGTTCTGTCAAATACTTCTCACAGCTTCGATATTGGAGTTTGAGGATAAGGAGAAGCAGAAGAGATATGAAACAATCTCTTTTAGAAAAATACAAGATGAAGTTAAAGAACTTAAGGTACCTTGCAAATGAATCTAGATTTTGTGTTGTTTTTATTTTATTTTTACTGTTAGGTACTATGGATGCTTGGAGCAATCAGTTTCATCTTATTCAAAGAGCCACTTTTGTTCATATTTTTCCTTCACCATAGAAGGGCTCATATTCATAAGGCAATACTTTATAATACGATACATGTGTATATCAAATTTTATGGCTTTGTTGTCCATGTATAAAATACGTCTTTCTTTTCTTATAGGATCTGTCAGACCTTCTGCATGCTCCTGTAGTTTTTTCACACAATGACTTGCTTTCAGGCAATTTGATGTTGAATGATTTGGAAGGCAAGCACCGAGTTCACTTGCATTGTTTATATTTCGATATTTAATATATTTTTTTCATTTTATATTCTATACTTGCAAAACTGAATAGGTGGCTATATGTGTTTGTCTTTTTGCCAGAAAAGCTCTACTTCATTGATTTCGAGTATGGGTCGTACAGCTACCGTGGTTATGATATTGCAAACCATTTCAATGAATATGCAGGCTATGATTGCGACTATAGCTTGTAAGTTATCTTCTTACTGGTTGAATTCTCCAATAAAACTTATTGTCATCATGTTGCTCAGTATTTTGTTGCCTGTTCTAGGTATCCAGATAAAAATTCTCAATACCACTTCTTCAGGAACTATCTTCAACCTGATAGGCCAAGTGAGGTATGTTAATATGATAGGTTGTCCTCTTGTGAAGCAAAACAAACGGAATTAATACATGGTGTTGCTAGCTTTTCTTACAAGGTCGAGTCATATGGTGAACCCATTGTAAATTTGGTGTTAGTCATAAGTAGTGTCGAGTCATATGGTGAACCCATTGTAAATTTGGTGTTAGTCATAAGTAGTGTCGAGCCATGCTATAAGTAGTGTCATTGCTTGTTTAAATTAAAATCAGTAACACATGCTTACGTGCTACATGTAATTGCCATTTATACTTGTCTAATTAACGTGAACTGCTCATATTACTTTTCTGAAAGGATTGTATGATGCTTAGCGTTAAAGGTGGTTGGAAAACATTTGAAGTATTGCTTTAAGAAAATATGTGTATTCTTTTGAATGTAGAAGAACATCGTGCAATTTTTTATCTGATGTTATCTCACCACAATGCACTTGTTGTATTTAAAATTCTTATTTGGTTTATTTCTAACTGGAAGGTCCAACTGCAAGATCTGGATGCCCTTTATGTGGAAACAAACACCTATAGATTAGCATCACACATTTACTGGGCGTTGTGGGCTCTTATTCAGGTGAGCACTACCCTCCTTTTGCTACAGACACAACATTCAGTTTCAAGTCTTTTCAAGTTGTTCTTGTAGCAATTGACTTTACTGCCATGCACCCCATTATAATGGAACTTGGAACATATAATTGCCATTTGGATGCAGGCAAAGGTATCCCCCATTGATTTCGACTATCTTGGATACTTTTTTCTACGGTACGACGAATACAAGAAACAGAGGGAGTCATGCCTCTCCTTGGCAGAAAGCTCCCTCTCCGCATTGAAAAATGGCTAGATCGAGCTTTGGAGCTACCGCCCCCAGCTTATTCATGGAGAACACTCTGATCAGCTGTTGTTGTCAAAACTCGTATCATGGTAGTTAATCTCGTTCTGAAATTCTTCCTGTTTAGTTTTTTTGTTCCTGCAGGAGGCATATGCTTCGCCCGGTAGAAAAAAAATATAGTATGATCGTAGTAGACAACTGGTTGTTTGTAATAAACATAAGCCCTTTGGCCCCTTTCGTACATCATGTAGTAGTAAGCATTTGTTGTGTGCCTATTGGGCATTCACCTGACATGCCGATGGCAATGCGATCGTTGCCTCGTGTTTGGCTATTTTTGCATCTTGGCTTTGTACAGCAATGCACCGGTTGTCGCCGTACATTACTGTGCGCGATCTCCACCGCCACTGGAGTGGTGCACTTAATTTCGATGGTGCTTTTCGTTTGCACGGCAGCTGACCGTGACCGGGACTGATTTGAGGATATCTTTTTTCTTTCCCCTTTTTTTTTTTGAAATGAGGGATTTGGGGATATAATTACCACCATGCAACTGCAAACTTAAGATTCACAGTGCTAATTTTTAAATTCACATGATCAGTACCAAGAAACATTGGCCGTGATAGTAGATTTACCAAAAGATTCTTCCAAGCAACATTATGTACAAATTAACCAGCGGAGTGCAAAACCACACACAACAACAAACAACCAAAAAAACAAACTTTCTTGAGCAAAACACAGATCACTCAACGATCAACGGGCACTCTTCATCGTAATTCGTAGATCAAGCGGAAAACGTAGCCACTGATCAGCTTCCTCGATCCACCTCAATGCGTGATGCGGTGATGCCTTCCATGGCGTTTGTCACGGGTCGCGTGGCCTACGCGCGCCACGTACGCCTCATCCGAAGATGCCAGCTGGCTGCGTCATGGCGAACCACCTCCAAGCTAGCCGCAGCCATGGCGCCATCAATACGGGAGCAAGCTGAGCTAAGCTGTCACCGCTGGCGCCGCCGCGGCGGCGGGCCATCCCGTGCCCATCACGGGCTTTCCGGCGGCCGGACGCGCCGGGGAATGCTGCTGGTCGCCGCCGTTCTTGCTGCTGCTCTTCCTCACGAAGCTGAGCAGCTTCTTGATCCCCTTGGCGAAATCCTTGTGCGAGTCGCCGCCGGCGGAGGAGAGGATCGCCCGCGGCGTCGGCGGCGTCGTCGTCGTCTCCGGGCTTCCCCACTGCTTCCTCGCCCGTAGCGGCTGCGGCGATGGCAGCTCCACCGCCGACCTCGGGGAGTCCAGCGCCGCCGTGTGGTGGTGGTGGAGTGGAAGCTCCGACACGGACCGGGAGTGGTGGCGGCGACGCGCCGCCGCCTGCGCGAGCTGGTCTCGCGGAGGAGGAGGTCGCCTCGGGCTGGCCGTGGCCGCGTCGCTGATCGGTGGGACGTCGTGCACCCTCGGCGTCGGCGGCGCACGCAGCCGCGGCGTCGTCGACGTCGTCGTCGTGGCGCCGCCCGTGCCGCTGCCGCGCCGGAGGAACGGCCGCGGCGTGACGCAGTCGCCGAAGTCGGACGGCACCGCCCCGAGGCTGCTCCGCCTCCGGTGCGCCGGCTTCGCCGCGGCCGCGCCGGTGTTCACCGTCCTCGCCCTGGGCAGCACCACGGCCGAACTCTCCTTCCTCGGGGTGGTCGGAGTAGACACCCCCGGCGGCGACCTCTTCACCTGAGCGGCGGCGCAGTTGAGAGCAAGCGGGCTCAACCTACCGCCGCCGCCGCCGCCGGCGGCTCGAGCGCCGCCCCGCGGCCGGGTCGTCTGCCGCTCCGACGCCGCCGCGGCGACGCCACCCGTCGTGTGGCGCCTGGCGTCGCGGCGGCGCATGTAGGCATCGTACTGCCTGCCGCGGCACGCGCCCTCCGCGCCCGCGCGCGACGCGACGTCGCCGACCTCGTCGTCGTCGTCCGCCGCAGCCGCCGCGCCCTCCTCCCCGCGCGCGGCGCGCATGAGCCTGAGCTGCAGCTCAAGCTCGTACAGCTTCACCCACAGCGCGGCGTGCCCGCGTCCCGCCATCTCTCTCTCGCGCGCGCGCGCGAAAAGCAGAGGGAAACAAACACACCCGTAAAAAAAAAAAACGAGCAGATCACCCGTGCCCGAGCCGTGTGGAGCCGCGCCGCGAGGACCCTTTGCCTCTTATACGCGGCTGTGTGCGGCGAGCAATAAAACCGGTGGGATTTTGGTACGCGGCAGTGGTGTACTGGTGTTAGATGGGGGAAAACGGTTAGAATCGGTAGCATCTCTTCGTAAACAACGTTCGATCAGCCAATAATTGATCATATTTATTATTTAAATTACCTAGTGTCAATATTAATATGATGTAGAAAGAAATTAGAAAAAACAAAATTTAAAAATTACTAAAAAGGTACCGTTGGAAATGGTACCCCTTATACGGAAACGGCGTTCGGTCCATCGAGAATTTCCGTGACCATTTTCAAGTCTAGTATTAGTTTCTACTGAAAATGAAAATAAAGATGAAAACAACATTAGGAAATAAAAAACAAAGAAATCTTTAACATATGATTAATTAAATCTTAATTGTTATAAATATTGAAAATAGATTTACTTCCATACATAATGTTTTTTAAATAAAATGTATCATTTGACAGTTCAAAATATGACAACATAAAATATAAAATATGAATCTTAAAAGAGAGCGGGCGTGTGAGTTTGGTTGTTTGGTGGCCTTTTGATCCGGTCGCCGATGGGGATGACGTTGGGGGCTTGACCGGGTTGGTCGATCCGTTGATTGGCAGCAAAGTTGGCGGCGTGCGTCGCGTCGACTTGGCCAAGCTCCGGCGTCTCGACTAGTCAGATTTTTGTCACTCCTGCGGCACCTTGCTCGACATGATGCTCCCTCCTGCTGCACTGGCTTGAAGAGCGAGTTTTTGTTCTTTACTGTATCACAAGCAGCATCGCATAATCGCATTGACTGATTGGGACGTTCAGGACTTCCTTGTAGTCGAGCTTGGGGCACACTTTTGCATGAAACTAGGATTCAAAAAAGTACAACTGAATTTGATATACAACTTTTTATTTCTGTTTCGGTAAATACAACTATATAAGATCACTATACACTGTTATAATCGATCAAAACATGCATGTCCTTTTATTATTTTTATTTTTCTTTAATTAACGTGATAATTCCTAGATCTTTGAAGCAAGTAAAGGGGATATCTCGATCTCAACCTCTATTAATAGATTGGAAAATACATGAGTTGCAAAATATCATAGTACAACCGATTCTTGTGGTAATTAAATTTAGAAAAGTTTTGCTGCAAGACACCTAAATTTTATGTAATTGCTGATAAACATCGTAAAAATGTATCATGGCTAAAAGACACGCTAAAAAAATAATAATTTACTGAAGCACTCTTTCGACTTACTTGGGGAGAAAAATTCTTCTAATATCCGTAAATACCACTAAAACCATAGGCTTCAAACATGACATTGTATTGAAAATTTGGAAATTATACAGCTCTAAGTCTACCATTACCCTAAGTACGTCGTTAGTATACATCATCTTCTATCTTCACAGCATCCTCATATCATAAGCTTTTGACCTTCGCTCTTTCGGGTAGGCAATTTACATGGGCAAATTCGCTTCCCATTCCTACTTATGAGAAACTAGACAATGTCCTCACATCAACGGAATGGGAATCCAAGTACCCCCTAGTTTCGGTTCATGCTCTTGACAGAGGGGTATCAGACCACACGCCTTTGCTCCTTGACACAGGGGAAGCGACCTTCACGGGAAACATTAAACAGTTTAAATTGGAACTGAGTTGGTTTCTACGTGATGACTTCTATGATCGTGTTCTCGAGATATGGAACAAACCAGTCAAGGGTCGTAATGCGGTCCAAAGATGGAATAACAAGATGAGCGCTTTACGTCGCCATCTTAGAGGTTGGGCTACTCATACCAATGGCGTCTTTAAGCAGAAAAAGGCAAATTTGCAAAACACAATTGATTCTCTAGACATCGCAGCAGAGGTACGACTCCTTTCGGATCAAGAAAGAATTCTTCTTGATCAATCGAGGGATTCTTTGGCAAGTCTACTCCGTGAGGAGGAGATTAAATGGTACCAACGCTCGAAAGTCTCGGACGTACTCTTACGAGATAACAACACAAAATATTTTAACTTGATAGCCAACGGTAAACATAGGAAGAAGAGGATCTTTTTCCTAGACCAGGATGAAGGGAAAATTGAGGGGGTTGAGGCCTTGAAAACTTATATTACAAGTTTTTATAGGAAACTTTTTGGACCACCAGAGGAGAACTCGTTTTCGCTTGATGAGTCCATAATTGGTGATATGGCTCAAGTTTCACAAGCTGAAAATGATTTTCTTACTGCTCCTTTTTCGGAAGAAGAAGTGAAAGAAGCCATCTTTGCGATGGAGCATAATAAAGCTCCTGGACCAGATGGTTTCCCAGCTGAATTTTACCAAAAATTTTGGGACGTTATTAAGCATGACCTGATGAACCTTTTTAATGAATTCCATACTGGTAGCCTCCCAATTTTCGGACTAAATTTTGGGGTACTTACTCTAGTTCCAAAAGTCAAAGAAGCAAATCAAATCCAACAATACAGACCCATATGCTTGTTAAATGTCAGCTATAAAATATTCACTAAGGTGGCTACAAACCGAATTAGCTCGGTTGCTGACCATTTAGTGAACCCGACCCAAACAGCTTTCATGCGTGGACGAAACATTTTAGATGGAGTCGTCATCATACATGAAACAGTTCATGAACTACATAGGAAGAAGTTGAGTGGGGTGATATTCAAAATTGACTTCGAAAAGGCGTATGACAAGGTTAAATGGCCTTTTCTGCTATAAACTCTGCGTATGAAAGGTTTTTCGCCCAAGTGGATATATTGGATTGAGTCTTTCATTTCCGGGGGAAGCGTGGCAGTCAAAGTCAATGATGACGTCAGGCCTTTTTTTCAGACTAAAAAGGGCCTTCGGCAAGGAGACCCTCTCTCCCCAATCCTATTCAACTTTATCGCTGATATGCTAGCCACATTGATAAACAGAGCCAAAACACAAGGGCAAATTGATGGAGTCATACCACATTTGATTGATGGGGGGACTCTCCATTCTACAATATGCCGATGCCACGGTGCTGTTTATGAATCATGACCTTGAAAAAGCTCCGAACATGAAGTTAGTGCTTCTAGCTTTCGAGCAGTTGTCGGGTCTTAAGATCAATTTTCATAAAAGTGAACTGTATTGTTTTGGTGAAGTACTTGATTATAGTGATCAATACAACCAGCTCTTTGGCTGCCAGGTCGGCAACTTCCCATTCCGTTATCTGGGCATTCCGATCCATTATAGGAAGTTGAGAAATGTGGAATGGAAAGAAGTGGTCGAGAGATTTGAGAAGAAATTGAGTAGCTGGAAAGGAAAACTTCTTTCGTTGGGAGGACGACTTACTTTGATTAACTCAGTACTTAGCAGTCTCCCAATGTATATGATGTCATTCCTTGCAATTCCTAGTGGGGTACTTAAAAAACTTGATTACCTTCGATCTAGGTTTTATTGGCAAGGGGATGGACATAAGAAGAAATACTGGCTTGCTAAGTGGGACATTATTTGCCGTCCCAAAGAACAGGGGGGCTAGGAATTCATGACCTCGAGATAAAGAATAAAGAGTTGATTAGTAAGTGGTTATACAAACTACTTACCACCGATGGAATATGGCAACAACTGCTACGCAATAAATATTTGGGATCACAACCTTTATCTCAAGCCTATTGGAAAGCGGGGGATTCACATTTTTGGGCTAGTCTTATGAAGGTTAAACAGGACTTTTTCCGTTTTGGATCCTTCAAGATTAGGGACGGCTCCCAAGTTAGGTTCTGGGAAGACAAATGGTTGGGTAATGCCTCGTTAAGAGAACAGTATCCTTGTCTATATAACATAGTTAGGCATAAACAGTCGACTATCGCACAGATTTTCCAAACCAATCCTCCGTGCCTTTCATGGCGACGGGATTTAATTGGTGCAAAACTAGCTGCTTGGCATAACCTATTGCCTCGCATAGCTGATTTGGTTCTGGTACAGGAGCAAGATGAGTTTCACTAGAACCTCACCCCGAATGGGGTCTTCTCGGTCAAATCTCATTATCTAGCTCTAACACATACTGGGGTTCCGAATATCAATAGACAGATTTGGAAGGTGAAAGTACCCCTAAAAGTTATAATCTTCCTTTGGTATTTACGCCGGGGCGTAATCCTCACCAAGGACAACCTTGCTAAGAGAAAATGGAAAGGCAGCAAGACATGTTGTTTCTGTCACAAGGATGAAACTATCCAACATTTATTCTTTCAATGCCTCTTATCTCGCTTGGTGTTGTCTGTAATTCATTTGGCTTCTAATCTGAAACCTCCTCGCAATGTTGGTCATATGTTTGGGAGTTGGCTATCATATGTCCCCCAAAGAAATGAGGAATCTGCTTTTGATGGGTGCAACAGCTCTGTGTTGGTCCATTTGGCTAAGCAGGAATGGAGTAATTTTTTATAACAAGATGGTGTCTTCTTCTTTGCAGGTTATCACCTTAGTTACCTAGTGGCTACGTACCTGGGCTATCCTCCTCCAACCGGAACTGCGGGATACTATTATGGTGGTATCTCGACGTTTGGACCAGGTGGTACAGGAGTTTTTTACCCAGGAGCATGGGTAGCGGTCTAGTCTACGGATTGATAGCCACTAAGATATACGGTGGTATCTCGACAGGCGGCACAGGAGTTTTTTTTACCCAGGAGCATGGGTGGCGGTCTAGTCTACGGATTGATAGCCACTAAGATATATGTTTCTGTTAAACTTTTGTGCTTGGGAGATGTTCTAGTTGTTTCTTTCTTCTTTTTTGGCTGTGTACTTTTTATGCAGAGGCCGGGGGTGACTCAATTTGATTGTATCATTTTGATGTAATTAACTGAGTCTAAATAAAGCTTCCATTATCTTAAAAAAGGGCATTATTGTATTTTGGAATAATTTCTCACTCCAATTGAGTATAAAGTATCCTCAAGCGAATTACTAATTTTCTTAGAATGTTTTTTTTAGCTATGACACGTTTTTATAATTTCTATCAACAAATTTTATGTGTCTTGTAGGCCTTAAATTTATTCATGCACGGTCCTGTGTGAAAACGGACTGGCAAGATGGCTCGCAGTCCTTTGATAAATTCCGACTTAGTGCCAAGGTCGTCAGGTATGAGCAGAGAATTTTGACTCTAACCTGTTGTTTGTGCGTGCTATTAGATAACATCGTCTTGGTTGGACTCTGTCGTTCAGATTCACTTACCACTGCTGCTGCAAAGACGAGTTAGGCTCGTCAACTCGAGCTCAAGTTGGGTGATACAGCATAAACATTCCATATAGCCGTTTTGTTTATGAGACAACTTTGTTTACCAAAACTCTTTAGCATTATCTACAATGGAGTAATTTTTCACCAACCGACCTGATGAGGGCAACACCAATTGCTGCAAATTCCAAAGTGTTCAAAGGCTGACCACCAGACACAACTAAACAAAACTGTAGCCAGGTAGTTGGTTGAGCTCAAATTACCTACTTCTACCAAGGAAAGCAGCACAGCATTATTATATGTCCAAAGTCTAAAGAGCACGTCCTGTATTGAACTCTGCATTTTGCAGTGACATCAAGTAGGAATAGCAGCGATACACCATTTCCAAGCAAGAGCAGTGCAACAAAGTTTTGACTAAATATCAAAATTCCTATTTCACATGTTTTCTTAAAGAAAATCCTATTTCGCAAGAGCGTTGTCTGCTTAGGAAAGAACAGCCATTACGTCGGATACCCTGAGAACAATATATTCGCCATCTTCACCCTTAAACTCGCTTCCCGCGTACTTGGAGTACATCACGGTATTCCCAGGAGTGATTGACAAGGGTTTCCTGCTGCCATCCTCAACCAATGGTCCTGGGCCTACGGCTGTCACCTATTTCGCAAAACAGAAGAAGGCGGGATTATCAGCACACATTTAGTGATTGATCGACAATGTATACAGTACATTTGCAGATTGGAGAGAGTGAAATATTGTATGTTTGATTGCTCGTCTCATAAACTAGTCAAAATAAAACTAACAAATAGTAGTATTCAGTAGTCAGTCAAATATCAGATTTTTTTTATTTTTTATTTGAAGAATGACAACCCTCAGATTCCACACAGAAGGATGCACTAGGAAGTTCTTTCACCCTCTGACTACTAGTTCTGCATCTAAGGTGGTAGTCACATGTCCACACTTCACACGTTATGGTGCAGTAAGTGAAAATATCAACAGCTTCTGAAAGAAAGCATGATCACTGACTGATTATTGTATTAGTTATGGTGACTATATATATGTATATTTTTTTTAATAAAGGGAAACCCCAGCATACTTGTAAGCTAGTAACCAAGTTTTGTTAAATATAAAGGTACAACTGGTATTGCCAACTACCATTAGGCGATCAACAGTTATTCAAAATGGATCTATTTTTCCCCCTCACTTTCCTAGAGCTAGTCCGTAACAATAGATTCTAAAAATTAACGACACGTCACAATCAAAGGTTATTGCTAAAGAATGCTAATGATGCCACTGATGGAACAGATACACAAAAAAAAGATAGCTCATTCACTGGGTTGTAAACTTCTATAAACTGCTTTTGCAGTCACTGGTTACTAATTTTCCAATGAAGATCTGGAACTGAGGTAATATACACTTTGCTTCTAAAAAGATTGACTTATGTGAAAGGATGAGATATTATATGCTAAACAAAAACTCACTGTTCCAATAGAAGGCTTTTCTTTGGTCGCTTGTGTCAATAGCAAACCACCTGCAGTTTTCTCTTCAGCCTCTGCAACCTGGTACAAAAGGAGATTGTCAAACCTGTAAATAAATTTATTCAAGATGTCCGTGCTGAAAAATTAATAGACAAACAAGATAATATAATTGTGCACTAATAAAATGTGGATTCCTCCTTGGCATGCAGTGAAGTGCGCAATTTGAGACCAATGACCATTAATTCAGCTTTGTTAAGAAAGCTCTCAAGTTTGACATAAAACATTGGCTCCAAAGACAAGCTTAGAATATGCAGCATCAAACAAAAAGCAACGGCACATGCTATTGAAATTCAATCAAGAGCATAATCAAAAGAAACTCTAGAATGGTTATGGTCTAATATCAACCTGTGAAGTTTCCAGACTGGAACACAAGAGACCCATTGAAAAACGATAAGACAGACCAGCACAAATCAATTAGGAGATGTGCACAACCTCACTGATCGGACATTATGCCAGAAGCTTGGCTCAGAATTAAGCAGATGAATTGAACTCAGGAAGGCAGAATGGAATAATATATCGTAGGGTTAGTTCTTTACCCTACCAATTCTTTGGTTGCCAAAACCTAGGCAAGTTTGAATTTGACACTACTAATTACTTCCTCCGTTTCATATTATAAGACTTTCTGGCCTTACCCACATTCATATATATGTTAATGAATCTATATATATATTAATGAATCTAGGCACACACATATATATATAGATTCATTAACATATATATGAATGTGGGCAATGCTAGAAAGTCTTATAACTTAAAACGGAGGTAGTATTTGGTAGGGATATTCAGTTTGTTACCAATAGGAGACAAATTTAGTACAAGATTTGGATTGGTTGCAAGAAATGTTGCCAAAGGTTTGGATTCAATCTCTTCCATGAAGAGCGTAAGTGTTCTGGACTCCCTGTAGAGACTGGAAAGCACAAATGTAAGGACACGTCATCAAGGTTATGACCCAAGGAATATATTTCTTCCCCTAGTTTTACTGGAGTAAATAATGTGACAGGTGCTGCCATTTATGCCATTCATGAACATTGTTCAGATATGAAGCCTATAGTCTATGCAACTTTTGGATGCAGTTTCAGTATGGAATGGACCAGGATTTGCAGATGCAACTTGTGCAAAATAGGAAAAGAGCAATAACAATTCACTTGGTGATAAAACATGGCTCTATATTAGCTTTTGGTAAACAGACCTTAATGAGAACACGGTCATTCAGTGGCTTCAGATCTTTCACATCATCTGTGTCGAGAATACCAATGATGTCATCTTCTTTCAAAATGAGATGGTCAGACCCATCGAATTCCAACTCTGTGCCAGCATATTTAGAGTAGACAACTTGTGCACCAACCTGTAACCAGGTTATATATTATTTATGACCAGCAAATTTAATAAGTAGTCTGATTAGGGTAACCGTATCAACAAAAAACTAGTAGTTTCAGGAAAAAGAAATAGTTGAGATAGCATAAGGGTAATTATCTTCAAAAAGGTGTTCATGGTTCGAGAATAAATTTAAGTAGAATAATGACGCACCACTTGGCTAAATTTGCCTTGTTGCTCTTACAGGTCCCGTGGATGTTTTAATAGTTATCTCACCATGCAACAGTTTCTTTTAAATAAATGGCTAGCAGGTGTCTGTGAGTACTAGCAAAACTAGTTGAACATAAAAGCACATACTGGAACACTGATCTCTATGCTGTCGCTGCCCATGCTTCTCCCCTCTCCAACTGCTACAACTTGTCCTCCTTGCGGTTTTGACTGAACTGATGTTGGAAGTAATATTCCTCCAACAGTTTTATCATCAGAGGTCTTGATCTTCACAAGCACCCTATCTCCCAAGGGTTTGATAGAAGTATACTGCAAATTTGACATAAGTCCATCTGCTTAGGTAAAGGAACAAGGAATCGCACATTACATGCTCAAAACTTAATCCTAAACAGTTTTGAGGGGAGAAAAATATGCTACAGAATGAAATAAAATGAAACTGGTGGCGCAAGGTCCACCACTCCATGTAGCTGCAAAGTAATAAAGCTGATGAACCAAATAGACAGCAGGAGCTTTACACATGTAAGACATCACCATAAACTAGCATCACATGCCAAAACAGCAATTCAGCTATTGTGAACCAGCTTTGCAAAAACAGCATGTCTTAATATCACCATAAAATTTGAAATTCAGACTCAAACTTTAAGCTGAGTGTGGGAATTGGCTGTGATTAGGTGGAAACATTACTAACAGATCTGTTCATTGCTGGAACAGTATGGCAGTCAGGCAGTGTCAACTTTGCATAGATAGATTCTAAGGTTCCTTAAGACGCATACACAGACCACCGACACCGCAAACATGTGGAGGAAACTAGAACATCATCAATTATTTTTGGATCTGTTAACAAATTAGTTTGCGTCTTTGATATAACCAGCCAATCCAGTACGATAATTGCTCTGCAATTGAAAACAAAACGAAATGATCTCCTAATCCCTTCAAGCGCCACCGCGAGCTTTGAGAGCGCTTCCACACTGTGAACCAAATCCAGGCACCAGATCGCACCTCGCAAGCAGTAGCAACGCACGCACAGAAACCCAAAACACCATAGACGTCACAGGTCTCCCGAATAAGAGTGGGGTGCAGCTGTGCCTCACCTTGGGCGACACGACCGTGGCGGCCCTCACGACGAGCCCCCGGTACCCGCGGCGCCCCCTCGATGCGGCGGCGGCGACCGAAGGCATCGCCACCAGCGCCGCCGCCGGTGACACTGACACCCGCGGGCCGGCGGACAGCTGCACCGACGCCATGAGCTCGCTACCGCCGACGACAACCGCGAGAAGCGAGCGAGCGAGAGAGGAGAGAGGAGAAGGTTCTGGAGCTGGGGGGGATAAGGGTGAGCTCCACTGAGGTTGTTGGCTTGCTGGGTTTTGGAGGAGACGACCCGGTTCGTTCTAGAAGGTTTTGGGCTTTTGGCCCTTGCTTCGCACGTGAGTGCCGCTTTGAGATTCGGAACAACGCAGCACCAGAATACTAATCATGGGATCAGCCAAAATTTAAGGGTCTCTTTGAATCACAGGAATGAAAAAACGGAGAAATAGGAAAAATATAGAATTCTGACAGGAATATAAGTGTAAAACAGAGAATTGCAAAACACAGAAAAAACATAGGAATGACCGTTTGATTGGACCACAGGAAAAACACAGAAATTTGAGGAGAGATAAAGACTTGTGGAGATTATGGGTACCCAATACCCACACGGCATGGTTATCGACTAGTCATAGGAGATAGCTTATATCTGTGGAATATGTAACAGATCATGACTTGGGTATTACGTTTCCTTTTATATTATGGAGCGGCCTAAAGTCCTGATTTGATAATATTGTAAAATAGATTTAGGAAACCGATACCGTATTGGTTAAGGTTTCTATCTTGTAATCCTGCCCCCCATCCTATATAAGGTGGGCAGGAGGCCCTCTAGGGGGCATGAGACAACTAGATCTCGTCAGATCTATAATACCCCCTGCGGATTAAAATCCCCAAACAGAAGTAGCGTATTACCTCTCATCGAGAGAGAGGGCCTGAACATGTCTAAATCCTTTGTCTCCGCATCCATCCACTTTTAGGTCTCGTCCGCTACCCCTTTTATTATTGCCGAATTCATGTTTCGACAGTTGGCGCGCCAGGTAGGGGTTGTGTCGAGTTTTCCATCGACAAGCGCGATGGAATCAATTCCAAAAGAAGAGTTGAGATTAATCTCAACGAGTTCAACGACCCAAAACATCAATTGGTTTGTCGTTTCAATATATTATTATCAGATTGATCTATAATCACAGTTGATTCTCTGATATGTTTTCCCCTCGGTTACATGTACTGCCGGCTGGGGTGTTTGCTGGTTATCGGCGGGACCACTGGTCGAAGCCATCGTCGTCCTCACGCTGTTCGCCGCCCATCGACACGACACGGACACCTGGCCTACATGTCGACGGTGCATGCTACGACCACACAATGGCCAGAGCAAGCGTACAAATTGGTTCTGACCAATCTAATGCATGCACTGCCAACGATCATTGCATGACTGGATTACAGGAGCATGCAAACAGACCTTGCATCACAAATATATGCATGCCTATAGCAAGTATATATGTATATAGGCATCTGTTCTCTACGGTGCTAATCAATTTCTGTTGTTTGTTTTGCATGTACCGCCGGGGGCAACGTGCTCACCGGCCGGCTGGCTCCATACTGCTAGGCGGCGACCTCATCCCCGCGTCGGCCGCGTTTGTTGCTGTCGTCAGCCGCGTTTCGATCGTCGTGCACATGGTCGCCGAGTTCTGCGGAGTTTCTGGTTGCTTGCGGGCATTAGAATCCTGACATCACCAGAGTTTTTCCCTTCTAATCTAGCATCATTTATTATATTGATCTCTAAATATCATATTAATCTCTTGGTATTTTCTGATGTTTACATGTAATACCGCGGCACTACTGTTGCCAACTGGTGTCTTCGTCCCCACGGCTGGCATGGTATGCCGTTGCTGACGGTCGTCTTGATCTTCACCGACCGGCAGCCTCGTCGCCGCCGACTGGTTTTCCTCACTTTCACGGTTGGATGGTCACACCACCGTTGTTGGTCATGCAAGCCTCTTCATCAAGCACAAATCAAACCATGTGTTTGGATCTATTAGTTATTATATAAATTATTTTCTTTTTACAAATATCTAACCACAGGTTGATGTGCAATTTCTTGTCTTTGCATGTATCATCGCATGTACTCCATCACTGACCGGCTGGCCTTTGCCGCCGCCGACTGGTGTTTCCGCCTGCACGGCTGGCCTATTATGCCGCCGCTGTTGGGCGTCTACGACTTCACCGCCGGCCTGCCTCCGTCGCCGCCGACTGGTGTCCTCGCCTATACGGTTGGTTGGTCATACCACCGTTCATGGGCGTCTACATCTTCACCGACCGGCTGGCCTTCGCCGCCGTCGACTGGTGTTTCCGCCTGCACGGCTGGCCTATTATGCCAGCGTTGTTGGGCGTCTACGACTTCACCGCTGGCCTGCCTCCGTCGCCGCCGACTGGTGTCCTCGCCTATACGGTTGGTTGGTCACACCACTGTTCATGGGCGTCCACATCTTCACCGACCGGCTGGCCTTCGCCGTCGCCGACTGGTGTTTCCGCCTGTACGGCTGGCCTATTATGCCGCTGTTGTTGGGCGTCTATGACTTCACCGCCGGCCTGCCTTCGCCGCCGTCGACTGGTGTTTCCGCATGCACGGCTGGCCTATTATGCCACCGTTGATGGGCGTCTGCATTTTCACCGCCGGCTCGCCTTCGTTGCCGCCGACTGGTGTTTCTGCCTAGACGGCTGGCTTATTATGCCGCCATTGATGGGCGTCTTCACTTTCAACGTCAGTCGCCTCAAGCTGCTTCTATGGCTGGTGTTTTTATTGCCATTGATGGACGACTTTGTTCCCACATCGGCCATGTCACGCCCAGAAATTCACGAACCAGAATTTCTAAACTGAATGTGCATTAAATCCCTATCCAGGACCAGCCAGGGTACACAAACGACAATTGTTGACATACAGATCCACGTCTTACAAAAATATAAAGATTACAAATGCAGCGGAAAGGATAAAAGCGAGCTAAACCGGGAAGCTTGACTTCAGCAGCGGGGCGACTCCACTCCACAGGCAATCCTTGACGGCAGCGACAAAACCAACTTCAACAAGACAGCTCCAACTAGAAAGACCTTCAGCTCTGGTGCGGGGGAGAAGAGAGTAAGACTGAGTACTACCCACTGTACTCAGCAAGTCATACAGGAAGAGGAGGTATGATGCAAGATATAACCAAAGGAGGCTAGGGGTTCTTTTGCACAAAGCTAGCATTTAAAACCAGTAGTTGAAAGCAGTAAAACAGCTGTAGTAATTAATCAATATTAACCAATCACTGTCCAACGCTACACCACGTTGCAACAGGCCCAACCAACCACCTGAACTACACCAGTTCATTAAGCTAAACTAGGGTGAGACTAATCACGGTGAATCTGGTTGATCGCCCATAACCGCGGGCACGGCTATTCGAATAGTTTTACTCTGGCCAGAGGTGTACAACTGTACCCACAAGACACGATTCCACACATGTCGCCATGCCCCGAAGTATCACCATGATACTGCAAAGGGGGAAATCGTAACAAGACCCTCCACATAACCCTCCCCTAACCATCCACACCACGCTAAGGTTGCACCCTACCCCTCAAAAGGCAGTGGGCGGTCCCCTCTTGCGCCACGGTGAATCCGGCAGCTGGACAACCGGACACCCCAGCCGACCCAACTCCATCACGCCCACCCTCGCCACCGGTGCCTAGGAAAGGGTCGAGCTATACTTTAGATCAAGCAGTTACCCACTCCCGCTTGTGGTAAGCACGGTAAGTCTCCCAGGGTTTCCCGTGAACCGGTCCTTAACTGCCATGGGTGCGACCAGCAAAACCATGCACCCACAGCCCACCATTCAGTGTATTTTAATTAACTAACACCACTGCGGTGGCACCAATCCAAAACTATGCTAATAGACAAAGTCTATGTAATAATGTGATCCTTTTTTGTGTACTAGTTGAGCTAAGCATGGCTAAGCATTTCCTAAATCAACATCTAATCATTTTGATACCCCCAGTTATCAATGGCATATGGTAAACAATATATGGCTGAGTAATAGGACCCATCCCACATGACATTGTAAAAGAATGCAACATTTAATAGAAATGCGGGACATTTGTAAATTGGGTACAATATGATCAATTGTAATGCATGACTTGCCTTGCTCTTGCACTGATGAGACCATAGCAACGTCTTCGAGAAACCGCAGATCGACGAAACGGCCGAAATCTACGCGACAAACAAAGCACACAAGCAAAACATGCTATAAGACTACTGAAACAGGAAACAAAACCATTTTTAATGGATTCTTTGCATTTTTATGAATTTACTGAGACTTGAATGGACTTAAACGGAGCTCGGATGAATTACTTATGAATTTTAGAAGATAAACTGTGTTTTTATTAATAAAGAAAAGTCCTTAATCAATTTATTGCGCAATAATACCCAGGGCTGACGTCATCCAAGGGGGGGCGGCTGCGCCGACAGGTGGGCCCCGCTTGTCAGCGCACAAGGGGAGGGAGAGGGGGCTCGGGCAAGTGGGCCCCACTGGCAGCGGCACAAGGTGGCCGGTCTACCGTGGACCAGGACCACGCGGGTGGTCCACCGCCGGTCCACGGGACCGACGGTCCGGATCGGCCTCAAAGGCGATCGGACGGCCGGGGGGAGGCGGCTAGGCACGGCTCGGCTCGGCTTCAAAGCTGACCGGCGGCCATGGCGGCCGGTGGCGACACGCGCGGTCACCGGCGGTGACCGGTGGCGGCGCGCGAGCGCCGGCAACGGCAAGCGACGGCGCGGGAGGCGGTGGCGAACGGCGCACAGGCCGGCGGCGGCGGCCGAAGGCGATGGCGAGCGCAGGGAGCGGCAGCGCGTGCGGGACATAGGGAAGGAGGGAGGAGAGGAGCTCCTCACCGTGAGCACGGCGGCCGGCGCGAAGGATGAAGACGGCGGCGACGACCGGCGATGCGGAGGCACGGACGGGCGGCAGCGACACCCTAGGAGAAGGTGGAGAGGCGTTATGAGAGGAGACGACGACCACGGCGGCTTGAATTGCCGGCCGGAGATGGAGGGGAGGGAAAAACTCACCGGCTCGTGAGGGGAGAGGCGCTCCGGTGGGATTCCGGCGACGCGAGGCGGCGGCCGGGAAAGCTCTTGCGGCGGCGAAGCTAACGGCGGCAGCGGTTTGGCGCGGCGGCGACTCTAGCGGCAGCGGTGCGCGGCCAGAGTGGCGGGAAAGGCGGCGGCGGGTGGATGCACGGTGCGGGAGCGATGAAGAGCTCA